AGAGGACAGGAGGACAAATAAGACTGTCATGACTATCTGGAACCCTTAAGCTAGTATAGAGGTGAGACCTCCTCCCTCCACTACAAGAAGCAACTGAGAAGAGCAAGAAAACAAAGACAAGCCAAAAGCAAGGCATGTTGGAAAAGAAGAGGAAGAGATACACACCATGAGATATACACCATGTAGGTAATATCACAGATGGAGTAGTATTCTTGTGAATCGTGATCCAAAAGAATAATACCCTAAATGGATAATACCCTAAATGGAAGCTACGATACAGTAGCAGTTGTAACAGCACAGAGACAAGTCCACAAATGAAAGTCAGAGCCCTCCCAGCTACCTTTGATTCAATGAGTCCTGTGATCTGCTGCTCCGTTCCTCCAAGGGCTACTGATGCAATGTGCCAGATTCCATGTTTCTTTCCAACTGTTCTGAGTCTCCTGCATCTGATCTCAAAGAAGGGAGCAGAAACAGCTGGAAGAGAGAAACCAGAATGGCATAGTCCAGCAGCAACCCTTGGAAGAACACACAACGACAGCCTTGTGAGAGGTACTATTGTCCCCCAGAAAGTATGTTTGCATGTGAACTTGTTTCCACATGTCTTCTAGAAGAAACACATGTTGCTAGTGCTCTGGCTGGTCACAGAGCATCGGAGTATCTTCTGACTTAGCATCATCAGTGCAAGCTGAACAGGCCAACAGCTCAACAACACAACCGCAATCCACAGTCATGGGTGCCAAACAAGTCACGTGTGCTAAATGCAGCCTAATTTTGGCACCAAGCTTCTCCTCCAGTGGTACCTTTACTCTCTGAGCAACTCCACCTACTTTGCAGCACATGAGCAGGTTGCAGCCCATGCAAGGGAACCCAGTCAAGGTCTACTTTGTTTAGGTTTTAAGCTCCTGTAGATCTAGCTGCAGGCCAAAGGAGGAGGGCAAAACAGCAGGTGAAACAGGAGACTGAAGGAATAAGATTCTTCAGAGAAAATTTAGGTATTTGCTGCCAAAGGAGAGGATTAGTTGTGAACATCAGGAAGTCAACTAGGCAGGGAGCAGCAGGAGGCCACTGCAGATAATAGGGACAGTAGGGGCAAGGCTGTTGCTCATCAAGGCACGTGAAGCAGAGATAAAAAGGTTTGTGCTCTTTCATATGTGCAAGGACTAGAAAGAGGGAGCAGGGAGGTCAGGAAGATGGTGCTGGTGGAGGAGGGGCCAGGAGGGAAAAAAAAAGCCCCGACTTTGAAAATGAACCATGAAAAGGTGATTAATAAGGGAAGAACTGTCAGGGTTGGTGTTAGGATCTTCTCATTTCCACTAGAAAGAAGACATTGCAACTTACAGCCACATTTGGGGAGGGAAGACCAAGAACACAGCAAGACCAAGGTGGAAGGTTGTAATTTAAAGGACAGAAACAGAATATCAAACAGAAAGCCAATCAGCTTAGGATGGTTAGGAATTACATGTAGGAAAGGACAGAAAGCAAGTTTAAAGGCTGATGGGATATTAAGGCAAGACAGTCCAAATGATCTCTTGCCAACTTCACAGCAGAGATAAAAGGGAAACCAGAACATTTTTCCTGACCACAACTTCCTTATAACCAATTACTAGAAAGCACAGGCGACCCACATCTCTCGAGGACAGCATTACTGCCATGAGCCAGGTCCTGGAGCACACAGTACCATTTCTGGAGAGGTCCCTCACTTCACATCCCTTCTGTCCTACGCAAACCTACTGCCTCTTAACTGCAAATAGTACTTGCAAGCGCCAAGTCATCAAGGGCAGTAACAAAACGAGTACCTGGAGTATCGCAAGTCTGCCTGTCCCCTGAAGAGTTGGTTGGAGGTGTCCGGTGTCGGTAGACAAGATGTGGCTTATTGTGCTCTTCCTCATACTCCTGTTCTTCAAGTGATAGCAGCGGCTCTACGAAATAGTCCCCATCGTCAGACTTGAATGTGCCTAGCTGAGAGGGACCAGAGAGGAACAGGCAATCAGCTTTGGGCAGTGACAAACTACTGAGCAGCAACAGCCCACAAAATGAGTGGTTGATGAGGGAGAGGTGATGCCCAGTTCCACAGTGACATGTGCAAAGGCGTGGGCTGAAGCTCAGCTTTGGTCACACTGTTTGCACTCACACCAGACAGCACTGCTCCCTGCAGCCATCCCACTGGAATTTTTGGAAAGCAAATCACTAATCCATAGGCAGAGAGGGGCACATCTGCCAGACCCAGTCCTTGTGCCAGTGACACTTACCAAACCACCCCTGCCCAAGGGGTAATGATGCTCTAGTGTGCTCAAGGCCTCAGTGCAACCCCACCATGCTGTGCTGGTTTCACACAGCAGCTCTCCCTGAGACAGGCTTTAAACCCACGTGTAAGGACCCGAAAGAGGTGTCCAGCCAGTGAAATCCTTGCTTAGGAGAAGACACCAACACTCCTAGCTGCACATGACTAGGAAGATAGGGATTTGGCAGGTAAATAAAAGAGACAAGAGATGAAACATCCTGCAACCATCCCAGACTGGGCTGCATGACCAGTAATTGGGAGGGAAGCCTGCCCAGCCACAGACACGTGCCCAAGCCTAGATGAACACATGTACCCAGGGGAGCTCCTGCATCAGACGGTAACCACCAGAGACCTCTGGGACAGGGGCCGGGGCAGACAGAAGCTTCTGCCCATCCCAGTGCCAACACTCCTGCACCGAAGGACACCAGGCT